CCCTTCCCTCCTCTGAAGTAGAGTCTGTGAGTGAAGGACAGGGATGAAAAAGTCTGCAAGGAGAGAGCACTGAGGACTGAGCTGCTTGGAAGCATCTGGTAGAAGCATCTGGAACAAAGGAGGAGGCAAGCCAGGCCAGGACCTCCCCAGGGTCTGTTCTCCAGGCCAGGAAGGTGGCTGGGTTGAGGCTCTTGAATGGTTTGTCCCAAGACCTGTAGGCGCTGGGAGAAAGGCCAGGCCGGGGATGGGTGCCAGACCCTGGGGCGGAAGGCAGAACAATGGAACCCCCTGCATTTGGACCCTGGCCAGCGAGATTCACATTTTCCATGGAGATAGAGCTCGTGAGAACCGGCAGGGAAAAGGGAGAGCCGGATGCCGGCTTTCCCCAGCTCCCGCTGAGACGCACAGCCAGCCTAGCGCCCGGTCCCCACAGACACCTGGCCGCAGAAAAGCCACAGGAGCGCTGCTTTCAAGCTGGCCGTGGTGGAATTGCCCCGTGGCTCTGGAGGCTGGGAGAGATGCCAGCCAGTGTGGTCCCTGAGCAGGCCACGGGAGCCAGCCCAACAGACCCAGCCAGAATGGTGTGCACACCCCTGGCTTGCCTGGCATCACCTATCCAGCTGCCTCGCTTACCCAGAGAGCGCCCTGCCACCCCGGGAACCAGGAAATCAGTAGGGATGGCCTCTGACCCGCCAAGGATGCTGTGCCGGGTACCAGCACACACCCGTGGTCTCTCTCAGAGCCTCCTGACTCTTACTTCACACTCAGTACTGACAAAGCTGGTCCCTGCGTCCCAAGCCCAAGGCAGATCCCAAGCAGCGCCCCCAAGTTACATGGAGGGAGACTGGCACCGGAGGAAAAGGGGTCGCAGAGACACCCTCCCCGGGTGGGCCCCCCGTCCCTGCCCACCCACCCCGCCCAACCTGGCATCTGTGATGAGCATTGTGCCAAGCTGTGGGACCTGGGCTCATCTCAGGTTTTGCCACCAACCGTGAGCCCTGTGGGGACCTATGTCGCCCTCAGGGGCCTCAGTGCTCACCAAGCCTAGCTTCCCCATCTTACAGCAGGGGAGGCTCAGGCTCCAACCCACAGCCTTGACTAGCGAAGAGAGTCAGGAGGCCGTCTTAC